GTCTCTGTCTCTCAAAAATAAACAAACATGAAAAAAAAAATTTTTAAAGGACTTTAAAAGAATACCATCAACCACTCTATGCTCACAAATTCAATAACTGAGATGAATGTACCAATCACTTGAAAGACACAACCTGCTAAAACTCACACAAGAAGAAACAGACAATCCGAGTAGGTGTATATCTATTAAGGAAATTGAATCAAAAGTTAATAACCTTCCAAAAAACAAAGCACGAGGCCCAGTTGGGTGCACTGGTGACTTCTACCAAAACCTGAAAGAAGAAATTATACCAATTCCCTACAATCTCTCCCAGAGACAGAAGCAGAGGGAATATTTCCTAATTCAATATGTAAGGCCAGCATTACCTAATATCAAATAAAGACATCACAGAAAAGTATACACAATATGTCTCATGAACATAGATGAAAAAAAAAATCCTCCACAAAATATTAACAAATCAAACCCAACAGTGTATAAAGAGATGATATATCACAACCAAGTGGGATTTATCCCAGATATACAAACCCGACTCAAAATTTAAAAATCAATTAACATAATCCATCAGAGCAACAGGCTAAAGAAGAAAAATCACACAATCATATTGATAATGCAGAAAAGCATTTGATAAAATCCAACATCCATACATGTTTCAGAGTTAAAAAAAAACCAAAAAACAAAAAAAAACCAAAAAAAACCTCTGGGGAGGCTGTGTGACTCAGCTGGTTAAGTGTCTGACTCCTGACTTTGGCTCAGATCATGATCTCAGTTACTGGGATCGAGCCCTGCATCTGGCTCTGTGCTGACAACACAGAGTCTGCTTGGGACTCTCTGTCTCTCTCCCCCACTCGTGCTCGCTCTCTCTCTCTCTCTCTTGAAATGAATAAATAAATTTAAAAAATACATAAGAAAAAAAAAGAACTCTAAGCAAAAGCGAAATGGGGGGAAATTTCCTGAACTTGATAAACATCTACAAAAATACTGGAAGTATTAGGTAATGTGACAAGAAAATGTAATAAGACAAAAAAAAAGGTACACATAACTTTACCATAAGATCCAGCAATTGCACTCCTTGGTATTTCCCCAAAAGTCCACATAAAAGCTTACACATGGATATTTACAACAGCTTTATAGTTAATTGCCAAAATTTGGAAGCAACTGAGACTTTCTCCAGCAGGTAAATGGATACACTGTGGTACATCTAGAAAATGGAGTATGCAGCACTAAAAATAAATGAGCTATCAAGCCATAGAAAGACACTGAGAAACCTTAAATGCACATTACTAAATGAAAGAAGTCAATCTGAAAAGGCTACATACTGTATGATTCCAACTACAAGACATTATGGAAAACACAAATGGGGATAGTAAAAAGATGAGGGGCTAATGAAGGGGAGCAGGAGAAGGGACGAATAGGCAGAGCAAAGAGGATTTTTAGCACAGTGAAAATACTCTGCATGATACTATCATGATGGAAACCTGTCATTACACATTTGTCCAAACCCACAGAATGCACAACACAAGGAGTGACCCCTAATGTAAACTATGGACTTTTGGGGACTATGAGGTCAGTGTAGGTTCACTGACTGTAACAAAAGCACCACTCTGGGAGAAATGTTGATAATGTGGGAGGCTGTGCAGGTGTGGAGGAAGGGGGTTTATGGGGAAT